CATATCAGAAAAAGAGGCCAGGTATGGTGCACACCTGTAATCCCTACACTTAAGAGGTTGAGGCAGGAGGAATGCCATGAGTTAGAGGTCAGTGTGGGCTATGAAGCAAGTTCAAGGCCAACATGCCTGAGTTGGGGGGGGGGAGGAGAAACAGGGAGAGAGAGGGAAGGAGAAAGAGAGGGAGGGAGGGAGAGAGAGAACTGAGATTGCTTTGGGTGTCTTCACTCAAAGGCTAGGAGGCTAGGACAAGAACTCTGCTTAGTAGCCTACTTTTCAAGAAGCTAGACGGTGTGGCTACTGGATAACCACCCAGCCTGTGGGCAGTAGCAACTATAGCTATGCTAACAGAGGAAGCTGTTAAACTTACCTTAGCTGCAAAACTAACCTTAAGACAGACGCTAGGAATTCTGACTCCTCATCAGGTCAGAGTGACTCTTGAGACCAAAAGTGGGAATGGTTTGTCAAGTATAAGGCCATTGCCTAAGATACCTCAGAGGTTGTTATGGAATTTACACTACTCCTAATCCTACCTTTTAACACCTACAAGCCCAAAAGCTACCCACTCTTGTGAACAAGTGATCTTCCAGACCCATGTAACAGGCAGGACTTCAGTGACCTAACCTAAGACTCCAAGGAGGTTTAGTTCACTGACAGAAGTAGCTGTGTCCAAGAAGGACATCAAATGGCAGGTTATGCAGTTGTGAGTTTCCAGCAGGTCACTGCGGCCAACTTAGCTCTTATTTAGGCATTGCTATTAGGAAAAGGAAAGAAGCTATATATCTATACAGATCTTCAGGTATGCTTTTCTGGTGCTACACACCCACACGGCAAACTGAAAGAAGGATCTTGATGACTAACAAGCAATCATTTGTAAACACAAGCAGGAAATTCTACCACTCTTAGATGTAGTCTACCTTCTCAAGCATGTTTCTGTCATTTACTACAAGGAATCTCAAAGAGATATGTGTAAGATTCCTTTGGAAGCTCAAAAGGCTGATAGAGAGCCAAGGACAGCCTACACATATTCCTAATTCCTGAAGCAGCATTTTGGCCCTTCGTCAAGGGATGCAGGGACAAGTCATAAAAATCCTACATGAGCTATTCTTGAAGAACCACTGAAAGATCAGAGGCTCCTCTTCAGAAAGCAAGACTCGAGTACTGCTTTGGATGCAGGTAAGTAGAGTTACTAATGACCCTAATTCACCACAGCTTAAGTGGGTATCTGCACTGAGACACATTCTTTTTCTTTGGCAGAACCGGGAATTGAGCTCAGGCCCCTGCACTTGCTAGGGAAGCGTTTATTCCACCCAGCCATCTCCCGGCCCCTACATTTTTAATAAGATCCATTATGGTAGTAGTCTTGCTAAGGCTATGCCTTTCAGGCTCTCAATTATTTATCCAACCTTCCTCTTTGCCAAACTTTGTCCTCCATAAGAAGCATGGAAATCTGGCCTGCTCTTCATATTTGGCTCCACATGCTCAATATAACAATAAACTCACTCTCTCCCACTGAACAGACAGTTTAACACTGTTTTCTCATTGTCTTCTGATAGGTTTCCTTTCTTCATCCCAGCCAGTGAGCCACAGCACCCCAAGGTAGTTGGATAGCACATAATCCCCATGAGGTAGGATCTAGAGTCCCTTCCAGCTGGAAGAAACTATAGAAGACAAAGACTGGGTTTTGGTTTTTACTGCAACTGTCTGCCAAGGCCAGGTTCATGGGGTGCCTGGAGTAGGGTTCTGGGTCCTGGCTGCGAGATGAGGAGCCTAGGGCCATGAGAAGTGAAATGAGTTATTCAAGTCACTCAATTAACTAAGTAGCAAAGCTAGAATTAGAACTTTGGTTTCCTGTATCTCGATGGGTGAAATGAGTCTGAGGAAGTGAAATCTTCGTGACTTCTTAAAGCAAATCACTGAAAGGGCAGTTGTGGTCACAATAAATTTGGGAGTGGATTATTCAGGGGTCCTGGCTTGCCTGGATGGCTATATGAATATATCCCTGGAGCAGACAGAAGACTATGTAAATGGACAACTGAGGAATACATATGGGGATGCATTTATATGAGGAAACAACGTATTGTACATAAGTACACAGAAAAGAAGGATGTAAAAACACCAACAAGTATTTCTTTTCATAGTTGGAATATATCATTTATGAAATGTTTTTTACTTTTTGTGATGCAAGTTGTCCTGCCTTCATAACAGTTGGTGATTTCTGCACTGATATGTGAGTAAAGTGATTGTGTAGAATTATGAATTTAATTAGTTTTACACACACATACACAAAGACAGAGACCTCCCCTCCCTCAGTATGCCATAAAGAATTGAGACAGGATATCAGGGCATGGCAAAGCTGGCTGGAGAAGTAGGTATGACCTGTTAATTACACAAATCACAGAATAGAACGCATGTGCAGAACAGTTCCCAAAGCCCCGCATGTGGACTTCTCTTAAAGAGAAGAGATGTTTTTGAAAGGGTGGCCTACACTTGATGTCAGCCTGAGAAATGAGGGTTACAAAAGGACAGGTGGGGCTGGTGAGATGGCTCAGTGGTCTAAAGCACCTACTTAGAACAAGCTAAGCTAAGCAAAGCACAGGACCACGGTTCAATCCCCCAGCACCACATGCCAGCCAGCCCCGCCCCCTGGTGGGCTGAGCTGGCCACACACAGACACA